CTTCACTTGTACTAAGCGGGAATACTTCTTGTGCATCCAATCCCTTAAACCCCAAAGTTATTCCATATGAGTCTACCATACCTTTCTATATGCGGTATCTACCTGTCGTTCCAAGTAAATTTGTATCTGCCAAACTCTAAACCTTCAAATGAAATTCTATTTTGTATGCTCAAATAGCTCATGTATCAACTAGGGGTGTCCTTATCTTCCATGTTAGGCGGGTTATTCTCAAGAGGAGTGGACTCCGCTACTCACTCACGAGAAAATGGTTGGACACCGGGATGCTCAGTCTCATGCTTTATGCAAACTAAATCAAAATAATTGCAAACAAAACTCCCCCTGGGACTGTTGTTAGTTGGAGGCACTCATTGTTTCGAACAAGCCATGGATTGATGCTTGTTGGTGGAGGGGGGTTATAAACTTTACCATTCTGTTTGGGAAACGCCTATAATGTGTGTAGCATGGAAGATATCGCCATCTCTTGGTTGTTATGTCGACAATGAAAGTATACCGCTCAAAATATTATTTATCTCTGATTTAAAATCGAGCTCTGGCATCTCTACAAATCCCTGCTTCCCTCTATGAAGGGCCTATCTATTTACTTTCATGTTGAGTCATCACCCTCTTATTAAAAAGCACCAGCTGAAGAGCACTGCTGTCATTTGCATTCATTACTATTAATTTATATTGGGTATGACTATGACTGGATCTCTTTTACCATGAATTCTAATGTCTAGTCAGTCCTTGATCTTTAAAGGTGCTCTGCATTTATGTTTTGCGGTCTCAGAAACGGCTAGCGAGATACCATCTTATTATATCATATCATGATTGTTTTGAGAAAGTGTTGTCATCCGAGATTTATTATTATTGCTCGCTAGTTGATTATGCCATTGACATGAGTAAACATGAGACCTAAATGTTATTGTGAATATGGTTAGTTATAATCTTTGCTGAAAACTTGAATGCTAGCTTTACACATTTACAACAACAAGAGCAAACAGAGTTTGTAAAAGTTTTTCTTTATCACTTTCAGTTTATCAACTGAATTGCTTGAGGACAAGCAAAGGTTTAAGTTTGGGGGAGTTGATACGTCTCCGTCGTATCTACTTTTTCAAACACTTTTGCCCTTATTTTTTACTCTAACTTGCATGATTTGAATGGAACTAACCCGGACTGACGCTGTTTTCAGCAAAATTGCCATGGTGTTATTTATGTGCAGAAACAAAAGTTCTCGGAATGACATGAAACTCCACGGAACTTATTTTTGGAAAATATTAAAAATACTGGAAGAAGAATCCACGTCAGGGGGGCCTCCACCTGTCCACGAGGGTGGGGGCGCGCCTGCCCCCTGGGCGCGCCCCCCTGCCTCATGGGCCCCCTGTTGCTCCACCGACCTCAACTCCAACTCCATATATTCGTATTCGGGGAGAAAAAATCAGAGAGAAGGATTCATCACGTTTTAGGATACGGAGCCACCGCCAAGCCCTAAACTCTTTCGAGAGGGCTGATCTGGAGTCCATTCGGGGCTCCGGAGAGGGGAATCCGTCGCCGTCGTCATCATCAACCATCCTCCATCACCAATTTCATGATGCTCACCGCCGTGCGTGAGTAATTCCATCGTAGGCTTACTGGACGGTGATGGGTTGGATGAGATTTATCATGTAATCGAGTTAGTTTTGTTAGGGTTTGATCCCTAGTAGCCACTATGTTCTGAGATTGATGTTGCTATGACTTTGCTATGCTTAATGCTTGTCACTAGGGCCCAAGTGCCATGATTTCATATCTGAACCTATTATGTTTTCATGAATATATGTGAGTTCTTGATCCTATCCTGCAAGTCTATAGTCACCTACTATGTGTTATGATCCGGCAACCCCGAAGTGACAATAATCGGGACCATTCCCGGTGATGATCGTAGTTTGAGGAGTTCATGTATTCACTATGTGTTAATATTTTGTTCCGGTACTCTATTAAAAGGAGGCCTTAATATCCCTTAGTTTTCATTAGGACCCCGCTGCCACGGGAGGGTAGGACAAAAGATGTCATGCAAGTTCTTTTCCATAAGCATGTATTACTATATTCGAAATACATGCCTACATTACATTGATGAATTGAAGCTAGTTCTGTGTCACTCTATTAATGACTGTTACATGATGAACCGCATCCGACATAATTCTTCATCACCGATCCAATGCCTACGAGCTTTTCACTTATTGTTCTTCGCTTATTTACTTTTCCGTTGCTACTGTTACAATCACTACAAAACCTAAAAATATTACTTTTGCTACTGCTACCGTTACTTTCATATTACTTTGCTACTAAATACTTTGCTGCAGATACTAAGTTATCCAAGTGTGGCTGAATTGACAACTCAGTTGCTAATACTTGAGAATATTCTTTGGCTCCCCTTGTGTCGAATCAATAAATTTGGGTTGAATACTCTACCCTCGAAAATTGTTGCGATCCCCTATACTTGTGGGTTATCAGTGAGTTATCATGTTATTTGCATAGAAGTTACCATCGTACGTTTCAACGACACCCCGACCCCAACCCCTCCAACAAAGTTATCAGGTCTACCATGTATGAGTTATCATGTTATTTGCACAGAAGTTACCGTGGCATGTTTCAGCGACTTGCCCCACCCCATCCTCGCCGACCAAGTTATCATAAGTTATCAGGTCCGCCATGTTTGAGTTATCATGTTATTTGCACAGAAGTGATCATGGCATGTTTCAGCGACTTGCCCCACCCCCACCCTGGCCGACCAAGTTATCAAGACCGGGGTACATAAGTTATCAGGTCTGCCATGTTTGAGTTATCATGTTATTTGCAC